TTTGAAACGAAATGAGTGTAACATAGTGAACCGAATCTCTGTTCTCTAGCAACTCATTTGACACGAATGAGTTGAACGTAGTTAGAAAACTCATTTCGTACCTTTCCTTTATTTAGTTTATTTATAATAAGGTAAGCTTTGAAGCCGTAGCTTGCTGGTTTTTCCATCATCCAATCGAATGAAACCTGGCGAAAAAGAAGTGAACACGAAGCTTCGTGTTTGTTTTTCTTCAAACCCCCAATCCGCTCTCGCTCGCCGCTACTCACGGGGTCTCGGTTGATTTCCCTTCCTTTAGCTACTAAGATGTTTCAGTTCGCTAAGTTTGAAAAGTCCAAAGAGCGCAGACTAGCCACGGAGCTTGGATACGGTTTCCCGATCGGAGATCCATGGATCACAGACGGTATCTCCCCATGGCCTTTCGCCTCTGAAAGCGTCCTTCCTTCTCAATGCCCGGGCATCCATCCAATGCATTCTTTTCGATCGTGTACTAAGGTACACTTAACACCAACCCAATCTCGAAAAAAAATAAAAGTACAAGCAACTACATCAACAATTACATTGCCTGATTTGTTATTTCTATAGCGACTTCGTTCAAAAACTTTCTTTTTCAGATAGGATTGTAGGCTGCTATCGGTGACCGGCTTCGTCGGTCTACACATTGAAAGAAAAAGGTACGACCAACGTACGTAGTCGCTCGAAGAGGGGAGAGGAAATGAGTGTAACGATTCGTTTCAAAAAATATAACTACGTTCAACTCATTCCGTTATCTTCTCTTATGATATTATGATATTAATAGTTTGAAAGACAGGGCTAGGTACGAAGTCTCTAGAGAGGTACAGAGATTCGTTGAACTCATTTCGTTTCACTATGTTACACTCTACCTTTTTCGTTACACTCATTCAGTTCAAGAATATAACGAGTAAGACAACCAGGGCGAAGCGAGTCTAAAGGCCAAAGAGTCATGTTTGAAGGCTACTATGCATCCTTCTTCATAGTAGAGTGTAAGGTAGGTTTGGGTATAGCAGGACTTGAACCTGCGACCATTAGGTTAAAAGCCCAATGCTCTACCAACTGAGCTATACACCCAAAAAAAGATGTAGTAGTAAATAAGGATTGGTACGGAAAAGAGGGCGGGTTCTCATCATATTCAAGGAGCGCGGCTCTGTATGAGGCTCGTACTGCAGAGCAAACGTAAGGGCGCGTTCTGCAAGAAAACGGATGCGCGGCTAACGCGCTAGCTGCGCCGTTGCTTGTTCCCTCACTGAAAACTTTCTAGATATCTGTCTCCATTATCTATCGGAATGAGTTTCACATAGTTACAAGTTGAACTATGTTACCTATGTACAGAGATTCGTTTCACTATGTTACACTCATTTCGTTTCACATAGTTCAACTCATTTAGTTCAACGAACAACGAACAACGAATTTCGTTTCACTATGTGAAACTCATTTCGTACCTATGTCTAATAGTCTTCTAGTCTATAGAACTATAGCTTTACAGCAGGAGTCTGGTTGATTCTATGTAGAGCTCACTGGAAGGATTATGTCATTATAAAACATTATAAAAGAAGGGTCAGCACCCAGGCCCGCGGGAGTTGCCGTATTGAAGCTCTCCAGGTGGCGAGCTACGTCCAAGCTGGTGTGTGATGGAGCTCATGGCTATCGCTGAGAGCCTCGAATCCTTCGAAATACCGTACAATTTGCCTGTTCGTCGGCCTACGAAATAACCGCTTTGATTTCACATTTACGATCATTGCTCTGCCCACTTTTTATCACTTGAGTGGGACTGAAGTATTCCATAGACTTCTTTGGGCGTTCCGCCACAACGGTTTTGAAAGTAACGTACTTTCTTACTGTATCATAGGCATTCTGGTGCTAAGACCGACGTGGCTAAGCCTAAGTGGCGAAGGAGGCCTACTATACGTATACTACGTATACTGGATTGGAAACAGGTGAACTTCAGTGTGATTGATCAGACAAGNGAGTTCGTTGACCGCGTAAGGGCGATCCATCTTGATGACGAATTCCACGATAACAAGAAATAGAAATGAATCGTTCGATGTCTGCTCGTTCTCCCCTCTTCAATTCCCAATGAACAACATGATCTTTACCTATCATTTGTTCAATTTGGTCGATCTGATACTTCGTTAATTCTTTTATCTTTATGTTCCCACTGATACCTAATCGATAACGAACCTGAATGGCTTTTTTAGGTCCAATTCCATAAATTCTTTGTGAGGCAATTCTTACTTGTTCATTTACAACTGATCTAGCTCCTGAAATATATAACATTCTTGATCCTTCCTTTTACTTGTCTTCTCGGCTGGAATCATAAATGAAACGAAATGAGTTTCTAAACGCTCGAGAGACCTCTCATCCTCGCTTTGTCCTGTTCCGCCGCTGTAAAGGACCATCTGAAAAATGGTAGCTCTAGCTCTCTCTGTACTCGATCCTAGGGTTTCTTGATTCAGTATTTTATTAAGGGTTGGCTCGTTATTCCAGGCGCCCCAACCAGTGGCCTTGTTGTCTATGAATCCTGGCCCCTTCTTCGCTACCTATTCTTGGTGCATCAAAGCATAGAAGGGATGATAGCTGCTTATCGCTCCTGTCTAGTCATCTTAGTCCCTGGCTTCTGTTTCATGCTTGGTTGATGGAAGACAGCTTTGAGTGCCGTTACTTTCCCCTTCCATGCTATCAGTTCTGTGTGTAGCACGAGCGTTTAAGAAGGCCGAGGTAGACGTGGTTTACTTTCTCAATTAAGGAGTCCCACTAGCAAGTTATTTAGGCTGTAACCACGAACACCCCCTGGTCTTTTTTTCAACCATTATAACATTCTAATAAGTAGTGTCTATCCGTGTATAACGGATCCCCAGACTACATGCTAAACACATGACCTTCGATGTACCGATCAGCACCAAGAATAGTGAAAGATCCTTAGGCGAGTTACGGGATGATCAGCCACACTGGGACTGAGACAAGACCCTATTCCTTCCGACTCTATCCATTGATTGCTAAGGAATAGGGACAACTATTTTTGTATGGACTGCTCGTATATAATTGAACGTAAAGATACGTAGGTTTGAGTTATAGGGATTAGGGATTCGTTGAACTATTCAAGTAATTCGATTATAGAATAGTCTTTTTGTTCCGTTCTTGAGGACTTTCCGGCCGGTAGGCTTTATAGCGGGCTGACAGGAAGGATATAAAAAGGATAATCTCTTATTAGAGTAATTAACTCGTTCTTGTCTCCGGCGATGAACCTATTCCAGAGCAGTCTGGTGATTAGCCTTGATTGCAATATTCGAAGCCTTCGTAAACGTCGGGTTTTCTCGTAGTGAAGATTGCTTCCAGTGATTCTTTTGCTTTATTTCCAACACTCTGGATAGGCGGAAGGATCTATGTCCACCCTTCAATCCACATCGGCTTAGGCTGATTCAATAAGCCAAGGGAAAACAACTACCGCTCGGTTTTGACACTCAAGCGACCCGTCGTTTTTCCAAACATCGATTTCACTGATTAAACCTGGGAAACTCTATCTCCAAGCCCCTTGTATAGGAGGGAAATGAGTGTAACTATGTTCCTATATGAGGATGAGATTATAGTTACACTCATTCTTGGGGTGTAACGTTGAAATAGATTGGACTCCTTTAGGCCGTGTAAGTATAACATTCGTAACAGGATTCGTTTCAACATCAGTCATTGTTGTTGAACTATGTTCAACGAATTCAGTCGAATGAGTGTAACATAGTGAAACTTCCTTCGTCGGGTCGAGATTCCGCCTCATTTGCAGCAAGCCTTGGCTCTAACGATCCTCTCTATGAAGCATAAGGAACGCTCTTTCTACTGGATTTGGATGTCACTTCAGCTGTTCGGTAAAGACTTTTTTTCCGTAGCCTATTTCACACCCGATTTCGCGCAGAAAAAGGTACGACCAACGTACAGAGATTCGTTTCACTATGTTACACTCATTTCGTTGAACATAGTTCAACGAATTCTCTAGTGACTTCGTTCGTAACTCATTTGAAACGAATCCCTGTTCAAATGGCTTGTGCGAGCTGGCCTAAGCTCGCCGGCCCTGCCATTCCCCGCGTAAGAGTGCTGTTGATAAACGATCTGTCACATGGTTTCGCCGAAAATTGTCGAAAAACATCCCGCATCCCGATAGTAAGGGCTTTGAACGCCCCTTTCACGCATATCCGTATCATTCTTTCAGCACCATACTTATCTTCCGTCAATCTCTCGGCTTGGAAGCCCCCGCAACGGGGGAGCCTCTCTTCAGCCCTTAGAGCTATAATTTTATCTGCGATTGATGCGTGAGCATCAAGAACCTGCCTATAGCGATCCAAGAGGTCCGCTCCACTGGAGTCCATGCAATACGCTACCTCTTTTGTAAAGAGGCACGCGGCCAGATACAGAAGATACAGAAAAAGAATAATAAGGACCCGGATAATCGTAGTGTCAGTAACACCGAAAGCCGGGTTCCCAACTTAGCGCGAAACCAAAATCAGAATGAAAAAGAAAAAGTTATGTAGTTATGTAGTTGGACCATAGAAATTTCTATTATTTCTTAAAAAGGTTCCGCTTCTTGCAAAAAAAAGGAAGAAAGACTTGTCTACAATCGCTGGTTGATTCGTTTCAAACGTTTCACTATGTTACCTATGTGAAACGAGCGGTTACGGTCGAATGAGTTGAACATAGTTCAACGAATCTCTGTACGTTGGTCGTACCTCTTCGAATGAGTTGAACTATTCGTTGTTCGTTGTTGAACATAGTTCAACGTTTGAAACGAAATGAGTTGAACTATGTTCAACGAACATAGTGAAACGAATCTCTGTTCTCTGTTCTATAGCTACTTCGTACCTATTCGAGTGATTTCACTATGTTCAACTCATTCGGATAATAGGATAGATAATAGGATAATAGTCGAAGGGTATTAGGTCAGCAGGAACTTGTTCAGTCGGCTAACTCTTAGATGCAGCATGCAGCCGCCTCCATCCATCGGCACATCCGCCCCAGATGCACGCTTAGCCGCATTGTTCATCTTGCTTGATGTCTGCTATTTGTCATGGGCAATGCTATCAAGCCAGGGCTTTAAACAAGAAAGTGCGACCTAGACACTTAAAGGAAGGGGATTTCGAGCCGACTATTCGATAGAGAGGTTGGATAGGATGGGTAAGCGCGGGGGAGGAGAACCTATTGCCTAATTAGGCACCAAAGCCTCGGTCCCGGAGCTGCGCCCTATGTAGATAAACACCCCGTTTGTGTAATCAGTTGTTAGCTTAGTCTCTAATTCTCTAATTGTTGTATGCGTTCAAATGAATAAGTAAGCCCCTTGGGCTGACCTGCTTCTTTTCCCGGATAGGGAATTTGTAAGCTTCGCATCTTGGTCTATTGCTGCTTCCTTTCCTAGTGGCTGTGGTACTCGGCATCAGCCTTCCTTGTAATTGAGCTGAAAGGATCGATGTAATTGACTAAATGGATCGATTGAGCTATTCATAAAATAGCTATGTGTTAAACAAATCGTAGATCACAGACGGTATCTTAGAGAGCAAAGTCACCATTTGATCATGAAAATAGTGCATCGTCCATTGATTCTCTATTCTCTTATACATTTATACATTTTCTAGTTATTCTCTCTTGGTTTCGGGAGCAGGAAAAGATGTAATTTACCTAGAAAGGTGCGAAACCCTAGACCATAGAATAGAGCCAATGGTGCTGCTTCGGACTAGCCAGTTTCACTATTCGTTGAACATAGTTACAAGTGTAAGTATAACATTCGTAACAGGATTCGTTTCAACATCAGTCATTGTTGTTGAACTATGTTCAACTCATTCGAAGAGGTACGACCAAAGGGAGTCGCTCGAAGAGGTACGACCAAAGGGAGTCGCTCGAAGAGGTACGACCAAAGGGAGTCGCTCGAAGAGGAAAAGCAGCAATCCAAGCTCAAGTTGAATCGGATATTGGATAGGCGCTAGTGGGAAGAACGGCTCGACGGGAGCGGAGTGTGTTACACAACTGACGGGAAGCGAGCGGTTGCTTCTCTGGATAAAGATGGGCTGGTTAGGCGGACCATGATGAAAGGACAGGGGGTCGTGGGAGTGTTTCTACTAATAGTTACTAATAGTTAGGGGTGGCAAGCTTTAGAGAGTCACCATACTAAAGAAGGCCGTAAGCAGTGGCTCGACGTAGACGGTTCGAATCAAGCGAAATCAAAGGCATTCGTTGGCACCAGATTGAATACTTTTGGGATATGGAACGGCTTGTCGGACTACGTCCGAGGAGGCGTCGGTGAATACGGATCTATCTTGATGGTTCTGGTGGCGGACCAAAAGACGTAAAGAAGGCGGAGCCTTAATTGCAATTAGATTTATTTTGTGGACGAGTTTCAGGCAGAACCTTGGTCCGCCATGTTGATGAGCCTGAAGCAAACAGGCGAGTATGTGAAGGCCATCTTTCGTAGTTCTCCCTGGACATTTTTGGTATGACGGAAAATGGACGGGAACTACTACGTTAGTTTAGAGTTTTGCATCCAACGACCATAGAACTATTCAGTTATCAAAGAAAAAGGGTTCGCCCCTGGGAATCCATGACACACTGTCCCCAACGGGCTTTCCGCGGAGCACTCTGGAAGGAATTCTTAATGGCAGATTTCCTCTTACGAAATGGATTAGTTTACTTAGATTTCTCAGCCTCGGCCCTATATCTTCCAACTCAACCATATAACCATATATAAAATAGTTGGATACCAAACATAACTACACGGGCAAGGAGGTGCTACTACTCAGTCACTCTTTGTTGAAGGTTTGGAACCCTAAAGGAGGAACGAAGTCCCTCGAAGATTCCTCTTCGAGCAACTTCGTACTTCTATCGGCGACGAAAGTAGCCTATTCACGCAATCGATTATAAAGCACGTTATTGCATCTTTGCCAGGGTAGCTCATCATTCATTCCAAATAGACTCTATCGCCCAACAAGGGCTTTCCAAGGCCGAAGCCTTACTTACTTACCCATTTGTAGATCGAGCTTCGACGCCAGCTATATTTGTAAGTTGGAAGTACCGCAGATTTAGCAGCTCCAGGTGATATTTGCTTTAGTCGGGATGATTTGTCGTAGCTAGACGGATGGCCGCTTCTTCCTGATCTTATTGGGCTTTCAGAGAACCGAAGTTTAGAGTTTTGCCCAAAAATAAGGGAATCAGCCACTCTAAATAGAGCCAAAAAAGATGAAAAACCACCCCCGGCAA